TAATAATTTCTGTGTGAAAAGTACTGGATTATTATATAAAAAATATTCAATTTCTAACAGGAAAATAATTTGTATCCTTTTTTACAACAGCTCTTAATTTATGTTTATATACCAATTTATAGTATCAATCCCACCAAATCCATTTTATTCAATACGGATACATTTAAATGCATTTACAATCTACAAATAGATGATGAAGGCGTTTGGTCACACCCTAGCCCAGCCGTGAATATTAATTATCATTTTATATTTTGCCAAGCTAATTCATATTATTCAAAATCATCATCATCATCATCAGTAAGCGTGGAATGATTCATTCAAAGTCTGGAAATGTTTAAAACTCCCAACTAGGAATACAAATGAGCTATATTTTTAACAGACTCATGCGCCTAATTATTCTTAATGTACATTTTTTTATTTAAATTTACACGAACTGTAATACCCCATCAGTTTGTTCAATTTACGTAATTTTAGATAATCGGTAGTCAGTCAACAGTAGTCGAACGGTCGATCGATCGATGTGATCTGTAATAGCATGTGTATAAAAATTAACATCTCAACTGCAAAGTCAACTTGCGAGAGAACTATTATAGGAAGTGAGAATTAAAAGCACACATTGTCTCTGAGTGAACGCCCTTATATGGTTCGGGCTACAATTGCCGCATTTATGCCGACACTAAATCGGATCAATTAAAATTCATCGATCGTTTATCACAAAAATAATAATAAGATATGGACGTGATAGAAAATGTAAACATTGCTATAAATTTTATTTTGTATTAAAACTAATTATTTATTAAACGAACAGTGGTGTGCCTATTCTCTATTTATGAGAGGGGTACAACATGTGTATCATATGTTTCTATATCCATAACCATTTTCATGTATTTTAATTATTCCCTGGGCAGATTCGAGGGGGTTGTGGTTTCGCCCCTCAACAAGGCGGAGAGTGTGCCTTCTGCATGCTCTCCGATTGGTACAGAACATCGGTGCTGGTGCGCTGGTATTTCCGCCTGTGGCTCAGCCACTGTGAGGTAGGCCAAAAGGCAGGTACTCACATAAAATATCTTAAGTTACTGTCCCCTTAGGACATTAATTTCAAACTTCTTCATAATTGCGAGCTTTTCAATAAATAGGTAATTAACATGTTTGCACATGTTTATGATTGTAAGAAAGCGAGTCAAATATGTCATTATTTTAGGTTATAATTCTATTGCAATAATTGCTAAATAATTTCTACAATTTATTCATGGATTTGTGTTGCAATGACACAGAATAATTTAATGTGTCCAAATTTATTTATTCAAATAAATTTGTATTTTTTTGATTTTAGCGAATACGCAAACAATTTAATACAGTATTTACGGCATATATGACAAAGAGATATGATGTCTCAATAGTATTAGCATGGAGATTTTAATGGAGGAATGTCTTCTTCCCACTCCTTCACCAGAACAGTGTCATGATCTGCAGACCAAAGTCTTCGAGCATGTATTTTGTCATGAGCTCGCCATTATATGAAATCTGACTTATTTACATATGTGATTACTATACCTAAATTTAATCCAATTTTAATTGATCTTAACACACGTCATTTTAGACATAATTCGGTAATCTATAAAAGATTTTGTGTCACCCTTTACATCACACGAACCGGAGCGAATCTAAATCTATTTTAACCAATTTCTAGCAGAGTCATTTAAAAATAAAAATTGATTCGAAGACATATGAATGCAAACCAACTATTTTGGAAAACAAACTCTAATTTGAAATTAAAACGAGTATCTATACTAATAAAAGAGTAAAGTGATTGACTGACTGATTTAACGATTCATCAACGACCAGACGAAATTTTAGGTGAGGGTCACTCTTGGTTCAAAGGTGTCAGATAAGGCTGGGTTTTTGGAAATTCGTACTAGAACGGTACGAAAAGTACCAAATGTGATACCATTTGTATTTGGCGAACCAGTAGAGTTAGAACTCTGAAATTTAGATTAAGGGTCACTGATGGAGTAGATGTAGCAAAGGGCTTTTTTGAAATTCGAACTATAAATATCCGAAAATTACTGAAATGAACTAAATTTGGTATAATATCGTAGCATGTGAATGGATTGAGCTAAAATTAACAATGAGAAGTAGTGTCGATATGAGGAGAGTTTGGAAAGCGTGTACTCATGTGTACGAAAAGTACTATATGGTACTATATTTGGTACAAATTTGATTTGAAGGTACAAATCGAGCTGGAATGCTGAAAATTGAAAGTAACAGTACCGTCGGAGTATAGGATTAGGATATGTACGTAGTTTTAGAAAATTTTTTACTTTGTGTACGAAGAGTACTAAATCGTACTATAATTGGTACAATTTGGATTTTGGTGAACCGATAGAGCTGGAACAATGAAATTTGGAGTTAGGATCATTGAAGGGGTGTAGGATTAGCGTCAGGATTCAGTTTAAAAAATTAATACTTATGGGTACTAAATGGTACTAAATTTGGTACAATTTGAATTTTAACCAATAAAGCTAGAATCATGGAAATTGGAGTCAGGATAACTGTGGAGGTGTAAGATTGAAATATGTAGGAAGTTTTGGAAATTTGTACTAATGTGTACTAAATTTGGTACAATGTGAATTGTGAGTGAACCGATAGTGTTGGAATACTGAAACTTGGATTTAGGATCACTGTGGGAGTTTTGGTTTGGGTTAAGTAGGAAGATTTGGAAATTCGTACTAAATTTGGTACAATTTAAATTGTGGGTCAAACGATAAAGTTGGAATCTTGACTGGGGGATGTAGGATTGGGGTATGTAGGAAGTTTTGGAAATTGGTACAATAATATACTAAATTTGGTAAAATTTGAATTGCGAGTGCACCAATAGAGTTTTGGAAATTCGTACTACTGTGTACTAAATTTGGTACAATTTAAATTGTGGGTGAACCAATGGAGTTGGAATGCTGAAATTTGGATTTAGGATCACTGTGGAAATGTAGAATTGGGTATATAAGAAGTTTTGGAATTGGTACTACTGTGTACAAAATTTGGTACAATTTGAATTGTGGGTGAACCTATGAATTTGGAATCCTGAAACGTGGGTTTAGTATCACTGTCGGTGTGTAGGATTGGGGTATTTAGGAAGTTTTGGATATTCGTACTACTGTGTACTAAATTTGGTACAATTTAAATTGTGGGTGAACCAATATATTTGGAATCGTGAAATCTGAATTTGGAATCATTGTGGGGGTGTAGGATCGGGATATGCATGAAGTTTTGTTGGATGGTTGAACAGGGTACTTATGGAAATAATGTGTGCTAAATGGAAAATTTTGTATTTGGTACTCAAATTTAATTTATGGTCAATATCAATGTGTGAATTGGTTTTTCTGACATATGAAGTTTGCTGTGAAAATAAAGTAATATGTTAATACATGTTTAAATATTTCCTACATTCGCAAACGAAGTTGCGGGCATATTCTAGTTTACAATAAAAAACCTGGCATATAACATTCCTAAGGGAAAATTTTGAATGACATATAGTATCTTTTTAAAATCAAAACGAATATTCTTAAACAGTGTCATTTCAAAATCGAAAAAAAATGTTCGAATACCAATCTGCGTAAAATTAATGTTCGAATATCAAATAGAGTCATTTGGAAATCAAAACAATTATTAAAATACCAATTAGAAGAATTCTAGTTTTGATAGTATTTCGAATACCAAACAGTTTCATTCGAATTACCGAACAGAGTCATGTGTATTAAAAATACATTATATTCTCATTGAAAATTCGAAAAAAAATCAAATTACAAACAGTGTCATTTAAAATTTAATATTTCGAATGTTTCGAGTATCATTTGAATACCAAATACAGTCATTTGCAATTCAAAACTAATATTTCGAATAATAACCAGAGCCATGTGAAAATCTAAATGAGCATTCGATTAAACTATTTTTAATGGAATTATATTATATCTGGCCTATACCAATGACGAAAAAGTATTCAGAGTCAACATTGAAAAGAAATATCCACCGTTTCAGTAGAAATTTGTAGCCGAGTTATCGAAAATTGGGTCTCCTGGCAGATGAAACTGTGCCCGTGTTTGTCATATTAACAAAGTCGAGTTATATTCACAGCACACTGTAACTATAAAAAATACATGAATACCCACACTACACCGTGGTAAAGGGTAATATGTCTTTGTGAATTTGTATGTAATATACCGAAGGTAACAATATATATATATACGAGATACGCCTCTGACAAAGGTTGCCTTATTAGGAATCACAAGCCCAAAAATTCTAATAACATTTATATCAACTAAAAAGAAATATTAGAACAATTAAAACATAAACTAACGAGTTTTAGCAACCTAACCAACACTTAAACTGTTCCGCTTCCATTTTGTCCAGCAATTGAACAATTGGCGCTTCTCAATTTTGTCACACCAAAAAATGAAAATAAAAAAATCTAGATTCATTTTTCCATACCATATTTGATCGATTTTTGTCATTAATAGTCAGAGGTATGTATGTACGTGTTTTTGTGGGTCCCTCCACCCCGGCATAAATATCTAGTCAGTATCTATGGATATATGTACTTGTCCGAACACAAACATATACGTATTTACATATAAATTAATTCAGAGCTTTCTTATTGTTCTATATGTCGTTGTTGTTGTTATTATTATTTTTTGTTTTTGTTTCTTATTAAATTGTGAGATTTTATTTTATAATTCCCACATTGTGGTCAAAGGGGCCGTGTTATTGTTCGTCATATAAAACCAAGTATTGTACACTGAATTTATTTCAGTTGTAGAATATACGACAACGCGAAATCTATCCACTTTCAAGACGATTAACCGGAATTTAGAAATTGTAGATTTATTTGTTTGCCTTATTGTGTTTCCTTGTTCCGCTGTGGTTGGCTATTTATTAAATGGATTTGTGAACCGATCTCAATTAAATTAAAGTGTGAAAATTAAAAATTAATTACAAATAAAATGAAGTTATATACATTGTGTGTGATATTGGGACTTTGTAGTCTTCAATATGTCCATGGCTTGGATTTAAGTTTTAAAAATATTGCCAAATCAACAGCCGATGTAACCACTGGTGTTATCAAGGATGTGGGCAATAAATTACCCACCCCACAGGGTCTGTTTGAGACGAGTAAGCAGTTGGTTGCCGGTTATCCATTTGAATTTGTTTCCTCGGCTGTCAATCAATTGTGTAAGTCGTAAGTCGTGCTAATATAAATTATTAGTGGTAGTAATTGATTAATAATTGGTATTTCCAAGAGTGGTCAGGGTAAATATTACTTTAATAAAGCAATTTTCTATTGTGTAATAATATTTTGAAATTAATTATCGCTAAAAAATGTTGAAAATATCAAAGAATTTAGTATGGAAGAACATATGTTAAATTCCAGTGAAGTTCAAATATGGATCTCCGATTCTATGTAAATGAATGCTTCATTAGTGAAGCTTGCCTATACAATTGACAAGAAATTTAGAACATCCGGCCGAATTAAGCCTAACATGAATTCTGTCGTAAATAAATATGGAATCTATGTCTGCATCTACACAATTTCAACAAAATCAAAATCTCGTGTCAATCGGACAAACATTAAGGGCTTGGTGCATAATATAATTGCAAACTGTATCTAAATCTGAACCAAATCCAAAGAAACTAACCAGGGATTGATTTATATTAAATTGTGTATTTTTGTTTTTAGTGCAGCATTTACTTAATATCGGACCAAAATATATATGGGACCTATATGTAAATCTGAACCGATTTCAAAGTAATTTGACACGCGTAAGGTTATACTAAATTCAGTACATTGTTCAAAATTGTGTGTCAATCGGACAAACTTTGGGTCCTTAGTGCACAATTTACATTAAATCGGACGAAAATATGTATATGAGAGCTATATCTAAATTTGAACCTATTTTCACGAATCTCAGCAGACATAATTCTAGACTCAATTCAGTACGCTATGCCAAATTTCGTGCAAATCGAAAGAAATATAGAGACCTTGGTGCACTATTTTCTTTAAATCGGACGAAACTATATATGGGAGCAGTATCTAATTCTGAAACGATTTTCACGAAACTTAACACACATCATTCTAGACTTAATTCAGTAAGTTATGCCAAATTTCGTGAAAATCTAATGATAAATATTAAAAAAAAATATATTTTAACCCGTAAGGAAAGTAGTAAAGTCGGACTGGGCCGACATATCGTTCTAGACTTAATTCAGTACGCTATGCCAAATTTCGTGCAAATCGAAGTATATATAGAGACTTTGGTACACCATTTACCTTAAATCGGACGAAAATATATATGGGAGCTATATCCAAATCTGAACCGATTTTCAAATTTCGTGCAAATCGAAAGATATATAGGGACTTTGGTACTCCATTTACTTTAAATCGGACGAAAATATATATGGGAGCTATATCCAAATCTGAACCGATTTTCAAATTTCGTGCAAATCGAAAGATATATAGGGACTTTGGTACTCCATTTACTTTAAATCGGACGAAAATATATATGGGAGCTATATCCAAATCTGAACCGATTTTCAGGAAACTTGACACACATCATTCTAGACCTAATTCATTAGGCTGTACCAAATTTCGTGCAAATCGAAAGATATATAGGGACCGTTTAATTTAAATCGGATGAAAATATATATGGGAGCGATATCTAAATCTGAACCGATTTTTCCCAATTCAAATAGGGTTCGTTCTTGGGCTAAATAATGCAAAATTTCATCCAATTCGGATTATAAATGCGACCTGTACTTTGTTTACAATTTAACATCGACAGACAGACAGACGGACGGTCATGCATAAATCGACTTAGAAAGTGATTCTATGCATATTCTCAAAAGGAACCATGTGTCTATCTCGTTTCCTTTTGCCTGTTACAAACATATGCACAAAGACATAATACCCTGTTCCACAGAGTGGTGAAGGGTATAACAATTTTGCGAGTGCTATCGTGATTTCAACAGACAAAAATATTTCGACGTGTTGTAAAATTAATGACAATTTCAATTTGAACTCCATCTTAGTATGGAGTTTATAAAAATTGGGCGGGGTATTTCATAAGATGGACATTAGGACGGGCCAATAAAACCAGCCCCTGGGATGATTATATGGACAATTCTTAGCAACTTTGGTGAAGAAACCATAGGTTTACCTCTCTAATTTTGATGAAAAAATTTGAATCAAAATGAGAGTCTGGGATGTGGGAGACTCGAAAATCGAGATAGACCCATGGTTCCTTCACCAAAGTTGCTTAGATTTGTCCATATAATCATCCCAGGGGCTGGTTTTAATCGAATTTTTCGGCTCCATACAAATTGGCCCGCCCTAATGTCCATATATTGAATAATTTCTAAATATGTATTTCACACAGTTCCCATTCCAAACATTCTAGGCGGAGTGTATTAAAATATGTGATAACGTTTCTCATACGACAAATTTAAGTTAAAGAGCACAAAACCACAAACAATAATACCACTTAATAATATTTTTTAAAAAAATCAAACACAAATACTTAAATATTTTAATGTAAGAAAAAACGGACTAATATATATATATATATATCAATTATAAGTTCTCCATATTGTAGTCTTGCAAACTGAAATATTTATTAACTTACTTTGTGCACATTTCAGGCGCCTCGGCTTTATCATCCAATGCCATTACCCCGAAAGTGACTCCAAACATTGACAAAATGTTTTTCCAGTTGAGAACTGCATGCAATCGCTATAATCACCCACTGCTGAAAGCCAATGAAATGTGGACCAGTCCGGAATTTGATCCCAAAAAGAAGGTGGTCATATTGGCCACGGGTTGGACAACAACCGTCAATGAAACCGACACCATTGATGTGTTCGCCAAGGCCTATGCTTGTCGGGGTGATGTAAATTTCGTGGTAAGTAGAAATGGAATTTATAAATAAAAAAACTATCTTAGTTCATCATCTCAATTCCAGGCCATTGATGCTGGTTCTTTTGTGGACACCCTTTACACCTGGTCGGCATTTAACACCGAAGAATTGGGAATGCATATTGCCAAGGGCCTGGAGCAATTGGAGAAAATTGTCCCATTGGAAAATATACACTTGATCGGTCATAGTTTGGGTGCTCATATTATGGGTGCGGCAGCTCGCTACTTCTACGATAGTACCGGAAAACTTATACCACGTGTTACGGGTCTGGATCCTGCCAAGCCATGCTTCAATGAGGGTGAAGCTCTTTCGGGTCTTATGCGTGGTGATGCTAAATTTATTGATGTCATTCACAGCAATTCGGGTGTGTTGGGCAAACGTAATCCCACCGGTGATGTTGATTTCTATCCAGGTGGTTTGGATCCCCTGCCACCGGGTTGTATAAGTGTTACCTGTGCCCATGCCAGGGCATGGGAATACTTTGCCGAAACGATATATCCCGGGAATGAGAACAACTTCATGGGAGCACGTTGTACATCATTGACACGTTTGCGTGAAAATAAATGTCCCAAACAAAATGTACCAATGGGTTATGCAGCACCGACCAACGTTAAGGGCAGCTATTTTATGGAAGTGAAGGGTGAAGCTCCATTTGGCATGGGTGGTGATAAAAAACGTATGCTGGCCAATGAACAATGTGGTGCATGTCCGAATGCAACGAAGTCGTAAACAAAGTTGTAAAATTTTGTTTTTGTTATTTTTTATTATTAACGTATTTTGTTGGAAAAATATTTTAAATTTATTGTTGTTGTTTATGTGTGAAAGTAATAATGTTGTCAGTCAGTTTTGTATTTTGACATATGTATGTATGTAAAGATAGTGAGGAACTTGTTTTGTAAAATAAATGGTGGAATTTTTTGAAACATGCATAATTGTTGACTGTGAGTTTGTGGAAAAATACAAATTATACGCAAGGCGCATATATACATACTACATATGTGCGTATGTGAAAATGTACATACCCGTAACTAGAATTGCATGTAGAACAATGTATTGCTCAATATGAAATTAAGTGAATTTGTAGATATCATAGCTTCTCAATTAAACTTGTAGGGATTTCAATGTAATGGAGAGAATGGCAGTGATTATATTAAGCCCATATATTCTGGAAATTATTTCCAAAAATCGGAAGGGGATGACAATACTCTACACTACATTGGAATATTCTAAAGTTGAACTAAGAATCTTAATGAAACGTATTGCGAGTACATCATTTGATAAACGTCATTCTACGTCGAAAATGTTCTTCATTGTAATATTGGTTTTAGACCACTTGTTGCTGTCTCATATAATTTGGAGTCGATTTACAAATTTGCGCCCATCCGCCTGTCTGCAGCGCACGATACTTCCTCCACACCTATTTGGCTCAGCATGACCTTGGAAATATTCTTTAAAAATCCACGCCTTTTTGGCTCAGCATGACCTTGGAAATATTCTTTAAAAATCCACGCCTTTTTGGCTCAGCATGACCTTGGAAATATTCTTTAAAAATCCACGCCTTTTTGGCTCAGCATGACCTTGGAAATATTCTTTAAAAATCCACACCTTTTTGGCTCAGCATGACCTTGGAAATATTCTTTAAAAATCCACGCCTTTTTGGCTCAGCATGACAATGGAAATATTCTTTCAAAATCCACGCCTTTTTGGCTCAGCATGACCTTGGAAATATTCTTTAAAAATCCACGCCTTTTTGGCTCAGCATGACCTTGGAAATATTCTTTAAAAATCCACGCCTTTTTGGCTCAGCATGACCTTGGAAATATTCTTTAAAAATCCACGCCTTTTTGGCTCAGCATGACCTTGGAAATATTCTTTAAAAATCCACGCCTTTTTGGCTCAGCATGACCATGGAAATATTCTTTAAAAATCCACGCCTTTTTGGCTCATCATGACCTTGGAAATATTCTTTAAAAATCCACGCCTTTTTGGCTCAGCATGACCTTGGAAATATTCTTTAAAAATCCACGCCTTTTTGGCTCAGCATGACCTTGGAAATATTCTTTAAAAATCCACGCCTTTTTGGCTCAGCATGATCTTGGAAATATTCTTTAAAAATCCACGCCTTTTTGGCTCAGCATGACCTTGGAAATATTCTTTAAAAATCCACGCCTTTTTGGCTCAGCATGACCATTGAAATATTCTTTCAAAATCCATGCCTATTTGGCTTAGCATGACAATGGAAATATTCTTTAAAAATCCACGCCTATTTGGCTTAGCATGACAATGGAAATATTCTTTAAAAATCCACGCCTATTTGGCTTAGCATGACAATGGAAATATTCTTTCAAAATCCACGCCTATTTGGTTCAACATGACAATGGAAATATTCTTTAAAAATCCAGGGCTATTTAGCTCAGCATGACCATGGAAATATTCTTTAAAAATCCACGCCTTTTTGGCTCAGCATGACCATGGAAATATTCTTTAAAAATCCACGGCTATTTAGCTCAGCATGACCATGGAAATATTCTTTAAAAATCCACGCTTATTTGGCTCAGCATGACCATGGAAATATTCTTTAAAAATCCACGCCTATTTAGCTCAACATGGACTTGGAAATATTTTTTAAAAATCCACGTCTGTTTAGCTCAATAAAGCATAGGAAATATTCTTTAAAAATCCAAGCCTATTTGGCTCGATAGGGCATATTCTTTAAAAATCCACGACTATTTAACTCAACTAGGCAAATAGAAAACGGACTTGGAAATATTTTCTCATCTAATATTTCTTCCAAACTTAGATGGGAAAATCGCTCCACTACCTTCCCCATAAAATGGTCAAAATTGTACTAAAAATTCATTTTATAATATCATGGGAATAGAGCATCCGATTTAAAACAAACTTTACACAATCTAATATTTAACCAGTTGTTAGTCCACTCCTTCTAGCACATGCCCAACAAAAGGCCAAAAATTTAAGTGCATTTTATGCAAACTTCATAATAATTAGAACGAAAACAAAGATGGGACCCATTGGTCCATTCCACTTCTGGTAGCTCCCCCACAATGGGTCAAAATCCAGAAAATGTGTTATTCCAATATCAATGTTGTAGAATGTCCGATTTGATGCCTAATATATACATCGTACTCACCGGTCCACTCCTTCTGGTACCTCCCACTCAAAATGGTCAAAATTTTGATGAAAATCAATTTTATAATATCATACGAATGAATTATCCAATTTATTTATCTTTGCACAAACTAACAGTTTAAACATGCCTGTATAATGTTGGAAGGCGGGTCTTATCTGTCCACTCCTTCAAGTACCGCTTTTACAAATGGTCAACATTTTGAAAACCTGTAAATCTCATATGAAGCGAGCGAAATATAAAATTTCATTCAAACTTTACACATGGTGATATATTTACCTTACATAGATCAAACTTGAATAATGCACCCGTTGGTTCACTACTTCTGCTATCTTCCCCACAAAGTGTCAAAATTCCAACATCATGATAATGGAATTCCAGATTTGATCCAAACTTTGCAAATCGAAATAATTTTCAAAACTTATATTAAATTCTATGATGAGGTCCATAGGCCTGTTTTATTCTGTAGGCCTCTGCAAACCATAGGCTAAGGATATATGTCGGCAAAAACGACCTATACTGTTTTACTTCTTCTTAATAGATATTACTGGATATTGTTCGAAATTTTTTACATGACTTTGCAAAAATTTCATGACCCTGACACAGTTTTGCACAGGTGGTGTGCGGTATACAAATTGCAATAAAATCGAGGTCAATTAAAGCTTTTGGCAATTCTATTACGAACCCTGAAGATTAATTCTCCATAGGGCAAGTTTTTGCTTTATGTCTGGTCCTTGTGCGTCTGTTTTAGTCCTTATTTTCCATAAATAAATTTCTGTTTCAATTCTTGCATATCCGTTCGTCAGTCCGTCCATATATTATTGTAAATAAAGTACAGGTAGCATTTATGATCCGAATTGGATTAAATTTGACACAGCTTATTTACTTGCCAATGTACGAAATCTATTGAAATTGGATAAAAACCGGTTCAGATTTAGATACAGCTCCCATATATAGTTTTGTCAGATTTTATGTGTATAAGTGTACAAAATGTTGTCGGAATCAGTACAGATTTAATTATAGGTCCCATATATGTTTTCCTCGGATTTGAGGTAAATGGTATGTCAAACTCACATAGTTTGTACAACTGAGATGAAATTGAGATCGTAGAAAATAAGAGTGTATATAATTTTATGCGAAATAGGAACTGTATGTCTAAACAATATGCTCTTCACAACGGAATCCCCCAAGGATCCCCAATATCGGTTATGCTATTCCTTATAGTTCATAATAAACTGTGTAACATTTAAGAATAACACTGTGCGACAAATTTCAATTTTTTTCGATAATTACCGGGAAATTCCAACAAATTTGAAAGTTTACGTCGGGAGGTAACCTAAAATGGCGGGGCAATATTCCCTCTTTTCAAGAATTTTGATCATTTTCGAATTATAATTTCTTAAAATCCTTCCATTTTAGGTATATAGTGTCTTCGGCAATATTACTGATAAAATATTGAGGAATATTTCTGTATACAACTTTAACCCTCAACCGACTCATTGAAGGGAACTTTTCGGTCCCCTTTTCCAGGAGTGATTGAAAACTCATTCAAAACGGGGTGAAAGCTGCTCAGAATATTCTACAGAAATGTTCGCCATAAAGTTTTACTATAAGTCTCAGAATAGACTAAAACTCAAAAATCAGTCTAAACGTCAAAAATCTTGAAAAACAAAAACTCATTTTAGGGTTAATATCGTACTTACTACTAGTTTTAACCCATTTTTCACACAAGATGACGTTTTAGCATAAGTCACTGAACAAGAGAAATATGTATATATAATGTATATACCGAATATATAGTCATACATTTTGAATAAAAATGTTCTTGTATTTTTTTCCAAAGATATTTCCCAGTATTTTTTTTCGACTAAGTGCATTAAAGTAACATGAAACTTAATTTTAGGTATATAAAGTCAAAGAACAAAATAATCTACGTCAAAATCCACTTCAAGTCCTAAAACAAACTATATATTTATATTCAATAGTTTTTAAGAAATTTACAGTATAAAATTATAAATAATAATAACAATTTTTTGCAGACTTCAGTTAATTTTATACTGTAAATTTCTTAAAAACTATTGAATATATTTGCAAGTTTATAGGGAAATAATTGCAAGTTTATAGGGAAAATATAGGGAAATATATGGAAAATACCAAAAAGTGGACCTATATCTACATTGCCACAAACCGGTTATGTAAACCATAATGTAAACTATAAAACAAATTACAGAAATGTTTAATGGACAATTATACCATCAGCTTTATGGATAAGGAGGGTGTATACACTTTGACACGGTTAAAATGGTTCTAGACCCCATGTTTCTTGGACAAAAGGTTTCAGAAAATGTTGATTTCATCTAAACTTTGGCCATCTTATTATTTCTTCCAAACATAGTTAACGTTCGAAAATGGGGAATACCGGTCCACTCCTTCTGACAACTCCCACACAGGGGCTTGGTCTAAATACGGTTTATAGTTCATTATTATTATTATCGAACCTTACGTTCTAGTTTGTTACCTTGATATCCTCCGCAGGTGATATGATTACAACAGAGTCTTAGAACCAAACCCAAAACATGGA